TTTTGGCTGTTACGGGTATTCTGTCTCAGCAAGAAGAGAAGAGTAACTAAGAAAACAGACAAAACTGAACTGAAGTCCAAGGGTTATTTTCCCAGGACCATATGCCGCCAGTAAGTATCAAAGTAAAGCTACAAGGTTTTAAATCTGACAGGAACTGTGTGCAGGTAGGCTAGCCTGCATGCTTATGTGGTGGGGGATGTACTGCGGATTGAACCCCGGGCCTTGGTATTAGGCTACAACCCAGCCCCTTTTTTATTTTTTTATTTGAGACAGGATCTTGCTCAATCACCTAAGCAGCCCAGGCTGGACTTAAATTTGTGACCCTTCTGCTTCAGCCTACCAGAGTGCTGGGATTACAGCCTGTGCCACCTCACAAAGCTGAATTATAAGCTTTCAACAACCACCACCACCCCACCATTCCTACTATCCCAAAGTAAGGGGATAAATACCAAGTAAGGGACTGGAAGTTTCTCTGGTGACCTGCTACTGGTGGAGCCCTTTTTAGGGCTTCCTTACTAATTCCAGTACCCTGCTCCAGGCTTTGTTAAGAGACAACGTGTCAAATTAATATTCTTTTATAATCTGGTCCAAGTTGTAGTTTATCTCATAGATAGTATTTTAAATTCTTTGATACAAGACTGTGGACAGTCCCTGATTTCAGTATAAATGAAGGTTCCTTTTCTGTTCTTTCACTTTGACGGTCCTGAGAATATAAACAGTAAAAATGTTTACTTGTTATTTCTTAACTTCAGATAGACTGGTTATAAAGAGAACTGGAAGCAGAGAACCTCAAAATTATCAAAAGAGAAATAGTAACATTTTTTTTACACAAAGAAATTAGGAATGAGAGAAGGCTGCCAGGTTGAAAAAACAGGAAAGAAAGGAAAAAGTAACCAAGACTATAGACTGGGACATGCCACCATTCTGCATATCTTCCTACCACATGACAGGTACTTGACGATTTGCTGAAGTAAAGATTTCCCTGTGTGAGCATAGAGAGGTCCTATTATTTAAAAGACACAAGGAAAACTAATGATAGGGGCTTAGAGGCCAGAATCTGAAAGAAAAGAAAGACCTAAGATCACCAGTAATGCTTTGTAGTAAACACAAAAAGCAAGACTATTATTGAAAGTACACTCTTCAGGAAGCCAATCTTGACTGACCTTTGATGCTGATTATTATGACACTAAACACAGTGGACAGTGGGCAGTTCTCTTACATCTCTTCAAGGCTACTTGAACATGCTCGAATGCCATTCACAACAGAGAGAACCAAGCTAATTCTATTTAATAGTTTTAGATATTCCAAGGTAATAAGAATTCTGATACAGAAAGGATATGTCTTTATATTTTTTAAAATTCTGAATAACAAAATTTTCAAGAACAGTACAAAGAACACTTTCTTCACCCAGTTACCTACTGTTACCATGTTTCTTGGTTTGCTTTACCCCTTCCCACATCTCCTTCCTTTCCCTTCCAACACCCGTCCATATTTTGTCTCTACTTTCCCTAAACTTTTTAAGTCAGACACAGAATCAGAGAATGTAGCCAACTTTCCCAATGACAACCTTTTTTTGGCAACTTGTGTGTGTCCAGTCCAAGATCACACTACACATATTTTCATGACTATTTAGTCTCCATTATTCAGGAAGAGTTGGTTTCTCAGCCTTTCTTTCTATGACACTGTCCCTTTTATAAAGTACAATTTTATAGAATGTCCCTCAATTAGGGTTTGCCTGACATTTTATCCGAGTACATTACACCAAGAAATATGACATATCAGTAAATGACATTATTGCCAATATTAACTCTGGTAACATAGTTAAAGTGTTTCTTCACTACCAACTGATCAGTCCTCACTTTGTGATTAACAAATAATTTACAGGAAGACAACTTAAGACTAAGTAAATGACCTGTTCCTCATAAAACTTCCAGTCACTAGTCCTGGCATCCACTGATTTCTGCCTGAATCATTTGTTATTATTATAGCTGCAAGGCGATTTACATAACTCCTTCACTCTTGCAAATTTACTATTTGACATCTACAATTAAGCAGAATTTCTTCTTACATCCCATGTATATACTTACTTAGAACATAGATTCTTGATTCTATAGATTTATAACCTACTTTATTCTGTGATTCAAATGGTCCAGATGTGACAAATGCAAGCTCCTTCAAGCTCCTTTCAATGCCCCTCTAATGGGTCTGCAATACTTCCTCACTTTCTGCCACAAGATCCTCCATTTTGTGCCTTCCCTGTGCCAGCCCTAGAATCAGCCATTTCTCTGAAGTGCTGAGTCCTTTCAGCAAGAATTAAGAGATTACTGGGGAGTGCTGACAATCAAATCCAGGGTCTAATACATGCTCGTCAAGTGCTCTACCCCTCAGCCAGCCCTTTTAAATTGTATTTTATTTTACTTTTGGTTTACTGAGACAGGGTTTTGCTATGTAGTTCAGGCTAGCTTGAACTCACTATGTAGCCCATGCTGGTCTCAAACTCTCAGCAATCCTCCTGCTTCAGCCTCCTGAATGCTGGCATTAAATTTTATTTTTGAGACAGGATCTTGATAAACTGGCCATGCTGGCCTTGACCTTGTGGTCCTTCTGGCTCAGTTTCCCAAGTAGCTAGGATTATAGGCATGTACCACCACATCCAGCAGGAAGTAGTTTTTCCGAAACCAGAATATGGTCTAAGGTATACTCATTGCTAATAGAATGTCACTACTTCCACATCCTTGGAGATATATTTTTGTAAACTGTATTTTTAAAAATTCTAACCAATATGAGAGAAACAAAACATTTTCTACTACATCATTTAACAGCACAGTTAACATCCACACAAAAAAAACTAGTGAAATGTTCTGAACTATTGCATAATTTTGCCTAAGTTTTGAGCATAATTTCCTTCTACACAGTAAATTAATCAACTCAATCTTTCAATTTTATGAAAACAAAGCACATATAAATCTATAATTTTTTGTTTCACATTTACAAGTCAAAGAAACTCTTTTTCCAATGACTAGAGTAGAGGATTTAACAAAGCCCCAGAATAATTAACATTTGAAACATAAGAGAATACAGAGAGCCGTTTTTTTTCTTCTAAGATTATAAAAAATGCTAAAATTAAATTAGCAAGATGATCAGAGAGAAATTAATGAGAGGAGAGAACTAAAGTGGATTACTTTAAAAATTCTAATCGCTGTGCCTCCTTCACACCCAAGAAATTCCTGGAACTCCCTGAGAGCATGACAGTCCTTAAAAAGAACTTTTCTATCACTTCCCCCCAACAAAGGGAGGTATTTGGATTGATAATTTCATGTGAGAAAAAAGTGGGATATTCATCTGAACCTATGCACATGTATGAGTTAAGTACCCATTGCATCCCATTGGCCCAGAGAAGCTGAGTAAATCAAGTAGGACAGTACAAGCCAAAGGCTGTGTCTTCCTAAATCTGTTCTTCAGGTTATAGAATTATATCACAGACTTTCTCAGGCAAGCCTTTAACCTAGCCTGTATTTATTGCCTACTTCTTCGCTCCAAATACATCTCCTCCCTGACTTCCCCCCAAGCCCTTCAATCCCTCCTTGACTTACTCTGGTGCCTCTTCTTCAATCCACCTTGTCCTCTACCCTATGTAGACCTGATGGTATTAGGGCAGTGGTGGCGAACCTCTCAGAGCTCTCAGCGATAACAAACTGCCCACTGTGGCACAGATTAGTCATCACTGGTAGACAGGACAGTGTGTCATCTCAACCACCTTGGCCGAATGCTCAGGCTGTCTCTCCACAATGACAGCCAGCGTTCCACTTCTCTGGTAACACCTGCCCGTCAGGTATACTCCTCTGTAAGTTGCCTAAGAATTCTCCAGCAACAAGCGGAAGCTTTTGCACTGCTAATTATGCTCTTTTATATCTTTAGTCTCTCTTTCCTTCAGTCTATAAAGTTGCTCAAGCCATCTGGCGTGTAAAAAGAAACTTCATCATTTAAAATCCAAGTTTTTCCAGGGATGTAGCTCACTGGTGCCGCACCTGTCTGGCAAGCACAAGGTCCTGAGTTTGATTCCTGGTACCTAAATAAATAAATAAATAAATAATCCAAGTTTCCCAAGGAAAAGCTTTTCCTCTCATTTATTCAACTCACTGCTGTTTGGCTGTTTTCCTCCTTCCTCACTCAAAACATTTATCCATGGTTAGTCTCTCCTGCGCTCTCTTACTCTTCCTTGTGCCAAATGTCTGAGTTCAGCCCGTTATCTGTCCTACTCCTACTACAGTGATGTCCTCACTCATTTTCCTATCTCTAATCTCTTCATGGATGCTCCTTTTCTCATCTACCTTTCTGCACACTGCCACCAGAATACTTTGTAAAAGCCAAAACAAATCATGCTTAAAACAAACCTATGGCTCCACAGTGCCTTCATCCTAGAATACAAAGTCATCTATGTATTAGCTGGCCCTGTCCTGCCTGCTGCAGAGATCCTTCTTCCCTTGCCAGCCTTCCTCTCTTGTACCATGAGCTCTGGACTCTCTGAATGACACATAAATCCTGCAACCAAGCTGCTCACCACAAACATCCTGGCCATACTATTCCATCTTCTGAAACTGCCATGTTCCCCTCCTGACTCAGTTTACTTTTTACTTATCTATAAAGATTCAGCTCAAATATTTCCTCCTCTGTTAAGCCTTCCAATTCACATAAGTAGTTTTTCAGTCCTTTTCATCTATACATTAATCTCAACTAAAGAGTATTATACTTCCATGTAGTTTATTGTTAATGTGCCTGGCCCTCCTTTTGAATTGTGAACTCCAAAGAAGTCAATGGTTGCTTTTTACCCATCACTGTATTCTCTGTGCTTATAACACCAACAGAAGTTCAATAAATACTGCTGAATAAATGATATTAAAAAGTTGAACAATCACTGGTACTGGGGGAAAAAAGTAGAACATAGAATGGTATTATAATTTCATACAAATGACATAAGCCTGACTGTTACAAGTCCCTACCTGATAAGTAACTGTCTTCTTTCCATCACTTTTAGACTGAGGTAAGGTCAAAGGTCCCGAAACTATCCAAACATCTTCAAACCTCTCTGTCAGTTCACGACAGTACATTTCTATTCTGGAAAACAAATCCAAAAGTGTGTAATATTTTCAAAGACAGACATGAAAAGAAAAGAGGCAAGCTATCACAGTCCCTAGGAAAGATATCAAGAATACTAAATTTGTGAAATTAATTTAAATAAAAACATCACACAAAACATAAACATAGATACAATAATTTTCCCAAAGTTTTACTAAAAAATTTTTAAATCACACAAACAACATATCTACATTTTTCTTTGTGTACACTTACTATACATTTTAGAGCTGAAATTGTTACAGCATTTTTCAGTACTGGAGGCCTGGCTCAGTGGAAGAGCAGCCAACCTGCATGCACAAGGCCCTGAGTTTGATCCCAGAATACCTCCTGCCACAGTCTATTCCATAGTTTTTGAATAAATATTTTTCAAGAATTACATATCATGCCAACATTCATTGCTACTAAAGGACAACTGCATTTATTTTATCATTTCCTCCATAATGCAATATTGTGTTGATTCTCAGGATAAATTTCAAGGGCTGAAATTACTGAATAAATACTTCAATGACTCTTGATTACATGTAAAACTTGTAATAAATACTTTTAATAGGATTATATAAATTCACTCTAAGCTCCATAATATGACGCAACAATTTTACAACACTGGAATTTATAAATTTTAAAACTTTTTCTCAAATTCACCAGATAAAAATGCAAGTGGTTTTATATGCATTTTCTTCACTTGACCTTAGCCAAAAGGCCGAGAAGCAATATATGCATTTTCTTATAGTACAGTTGGAAGCACTCTCCAAATGAGAATACTTGTTATCATTCCTCAAATCTCTTACCTAAAATGTAAAATCAAATTATATTATGGTACATCTGCCTAGTTACAAGCTAAAATTTTCCTCCCATAAATTCATCTCTTGGGGAAAAAAATGTTGAATGTGCCTACAGGTATCCAATCCACAAATCCAGAATGGAAACGCTAAAGGAAAAAGATCTCAAATCTCCAAAAAATAATTAGCAAAAATAAATAAAGATTGACAAATTAAAAAGAACTAAAGAAATACATCAACCAATCTAAGCATAGACTTTGAGTGAATCCTAATTTAAAACCAACCAATCAAAAAATATTAAGAACAATCAAGGAAGCATGATTATTGAACATTAGTAATAAGGAATTACTGTTACTTATTCTAGGGGCATAATAGTTCAGTGACTCCACTTTTAAAAGAATCTTTTGCAAATGGGAAGGAGACTAAGACATGGAAAGAAGAGAAGGGAGAGGGAGAGGATAAAAAAAGAATTGAGATGTGTTACATATACATACCAACTCCCCATGAACAATGCGATCATTATGTACTGCAAATGTAGACTATTAAAAAATAAAAATTGAAAAAATGCTCATTTTCAAAAAATATATTGAAATATTTATGAATAAAACAATATATCTGCAACCTGAATGGGGAAAATGAAGGCATGCAGACGAAACAAATGTAGCCATGACTGACAACTACTATTTGTGTGGGATGCTCTCTTAATTACTTTAAACCATGAAGAACTCTATAAGGAAAATACAATAACCTAAAAAACTTCCATCAGTGCTAATTTTAGATGCTTAAAGAGACAACCTGACAGGACTTATTAACAGGGTCAGAAAAATGCAGGTCCAGATGATTTTTGTTTTGTTTTGTCATTTGAAACAAGGTCTCACTATGTAATTCAAGCTGGCCCTGAACTATGTAGACCAGGCTCACCTCCAACTCCTAGAGAGCCTCCTGGCTCAGTCACCCACACTGTGGGAATACAGGCATGTACTACCACACCTGACTCAGATGACTTTATAGTTAGGTTTTATCAAAACCTAATTAATGGAGCTGGGCATGACGACAGTGCCTTTCGAAAATCCCATCACTATAGGAGCTATAAAGAGGAGGATTACAAGTTTGAGTCCAGAATGGGCAACTTAATGACTTAGTGAGACCCTTCTCAAAAACAATATTTTTTTTGAAAAGAATAGGGATGTAACTCAGTGCAAAGGCCCTGGGATCAATCCCCAGGACCATTAAAAACAAAAAACAAAAAACCCTAGTTAATGGTTACAATGAACTGTACCAGCACTTTTTCTTAAAAGCTCAGGAACATCAGAATATAAGAAAAAAAAATTAGGTGCCTTCTCTGGACACATTCAAAAAAGACATTACTGCCTCAGGATTATTAATTTGAGTAGTTTTTCAAAACTTCACTTTTGAACAGTAGCAAAACACATTAAAAAGAAAAAACAGGCTTTCGTAATGTTCTCCCACAGACTACACTTCCAAAAATCTAGCAAAGAAAATGACCTAAAATATTTGCTTTTAGTAGGATTAGCATCTCAAGAACAAAGACAGAGCCAGCTGATATACACTAATACATTTTCCTGTCACATAATGCATCTTCCATAGAATGTATTTTAAAAACTCTCACAATTTACCTGTTCCAATATCCAGAATTATTATCAAAATTCTGAGGCACAATATTAGAAAGGTAAAAGGTTTCAGCCATGGCTTTCTGTGAAACAAAATAAAAACAGTAACTTACACTGTAATATCCTCCCCTTTGAGATACTTTACAAAGCAAACATGGAAAATTAGTTCCTTATTCACACATTACTTCTGGGCAATTAGTGATTACAGTGCTTCTTTGGATAAATGAAAGCTACAGGTACTCTGGGACAGAAAGACTTATTATCCAAGTAGGACTTTAACTTTGGTGTGCTTACTTTGGCTTATCATTTTTTTTAAGGGGCGTTTTTTTCCCCCACTTTACTGTTGTTTGGTACCAAAAATTGAACTCAGGGCCTCACACTTGCCAGGCAGGTGCTGTACTGGTGAGCCACATCCCTGGCCCTAGCTTATCATTTCTAAAATTCAAATCTATACTATAAACTCTAAGAATTAGTTTCCAATGTAAGACTTATGAGAAAATTCTGGTTTTAAGCTTCTGTCAAAGAATTTCTCAAACACATTCAACTTTCAGGAATGTTAAGAGGTAGAGTATAAGCACATCAGTTCAAAAGTGGCAGAGGAAAAGTGCTTGTTCTGTATAACCTAGGGAGTTTCACTGATGCCTGGGTCCATCTCCACGTTTCTGTAGAGGGTTTTTGCACATTTCCCCAGGTGATCAGTATCCATGGCTGAGAACCACTGTCTTGATAATGACAAGCATCAAGAGTTCACACCATGAATGTCAATCTTATGAAAATCCTCCTTTAACCCCTTTTTGGCAGGGAAATTATCCTACATTAAAGGAGACTAAAGAGATATGCAATTCACAGTTAGGTCCCAGATCCAAAGAGCTGTACAGGACATAACTGGGAATTTGGGAAATCTTACCATCAATTGTATTTCAGATAACTCTATGAAAATATACAAAACTATGTCTATACATACTTCTTGGCATGATAATATTGTCATCTATACAGACACCCTCTTCTTAGGTGACACATGTTCCTGAGCAATCTATTTAGGAATAGAGTGCTATGATGTCTACAACTCTGTCAATGGTTTTAAAACATATACATACATAGAGGGCCAGGGATTTAGCTCAGTGGTTCTGCCACCTGCCATGCAAGTGCAAGGACCTGAGTTCGATCCCCGGTACAAAAAAATATATATATATACATACACACACACACACACACACACACACACACACACACATACAATGCATAAGTAGAGTAAATGTACTAAACACGATTGCTATCTTATCTTTTCAACTTTTCTACAGGTCTGAAACTTTTCATAATAAAAATAAATGAGTTGGGGTTTGGGGTATAGCGCAATGGTAGAGCATTTGCCTTAGCACACGAGGCCCTGGCTTCAATACCCAGATACCACAAAAATAAACAGCAAAAATAATAATTTTTTAAAAAGATGAATAGCTTTAAACCCTGTGGCTTTTTGTTGCTGTTATTGTTGTGTATTGTTCAAGACAGGGTCTAGCTATTATAATTCAGGCTGGCCTTGAATTCACTAGGGAGCCCAGACTAGCCTTGAACCTTCAAATGATCCTCCTACCTGGGCTCTCAAGTGCTAGTATTATAGGCGTGCCCCAGCATTCTCAGTATCTCAGTAGCTTTTTAGTTCCCTTCTACATAACATTTGGTTTTCCTCAGGCCAGGTGTGGTGTTGCACACCTATAATCCCAGCACTCAGGAGGCTGAGGCAGGAGGATCAATGCAAGTTTGAGGCCAGCCTGGACTACATAGTGAGATCCTGTCTCAAACAAACAAATCAAAAAAGTAAAACTGAATTAAAAATAAAAATAATTCAGTATCTGCTAAGAAAAGGAGAAAGAGAAGTCAAAAGAAAAATAAAAAACAAAGAATGAAAATTCTCATGTTTTTAAAATTTGGATCCTAGATTTGTAATCTCCAGGTCCCATGGCACACGTATCAGCCCTGTCCCATCCCTCCCAAAAATATGCCTACACTTGAAAATTTGTTATTTCCTGCCGGAGCCATGTGTCCTCGTGACCAGCCACTTCCAACATAGTCCTCATTGCAGGCACTGAATGCTGGAGGGACACTGGGGTCAGGCTTGAATTTACAATGTCTTCTGTCTGCATCACCTGAAGAAAACACACAAAATGGGAATATTATCGTGGATCGATATCCCTCCCAGTTCTCTAGGTGAGGTAAACTGGCTGCTACTAGCTGGTATCTCTTGGAGCAGCTAGTACTAAGGACTGCATGTCTCAAGTTCCTGGCATAGTTCAGATACTTCATCTGAATTTAGAAAAGCCTGGTCTATCATATAATTTTCATTCTGGTATTTTCGGTTAAAGACATACTACTCTGAATATATTTATGTAAAACAATAATCAAATGGCTAAGATGCATAAAAACTTTAGCTACTAAATAAATTTGTTTTTCAAAAAGACACCCATATATTGTATTGTTTAAAATTATATTCTGAGAAACTTATATGTACTGAAATAATGCATAAATATAGACACGAAACACTTTGTTCTGGGCAGGCATAGCCTGGGGGTGAGTGTCTCTGACATCCTGCTCAATGCCTCTTAAATCATGACAAAACATTTAAGTTAGGAGCTCCATCCAGTATTACACAGGAGAAAAGAAATTCCAATTTTTACTCATTTTCTGATACTTCCAGAATGGTTTGCCATAAAGGACATGAGCAGATCCCAACACTCTATTTTCCATCATCATAAAGTCAGACCTTGTTAAACTTCAGAAACTATGAGAGCGAACAGTATATTGCTGGGACTACTGCTCTTGTGTTGGCCAGGAATGGTAATACATGCCTATAATCTCAGCGTTCTGGGAGGCTGGGCAGGAGGATCACAATTTCCAGCCCAGCCTGGGCAACCTAGAGATTCAGTAGGATTCAGTCTCCAAAAAGAAAAATAACTGAAAGAAAGGGCTAGGGATGTGGCTCAGTGCAAGTGCACTGGGTTTCAACCCCCAGCACAGGAGTGTGTGTGTGTGTGTGTGTGTGTGTGTATAGTGGAGACCAACAAAGTTCTGCATCCAATGTCATTTCACGGAACCAAGAGATTTTAAAGTTATCAGTGCCCAGATCTAAAGTAAAGTATCCAATAGCAAGCATTTTAGAAACACTTCATAAAGGGAAAAAAACTGGTGCCACCGAAGAATTATCAAAACTGCGTAGTGTCACTAACCTTGGAATTGCTTCTTACATACCTAGTTATCTGCACCTGGTGCTCACTGCCCTTGAAACTCACTTATGAAGTTTTCCAAAGGCCTAAGATGTCATCCTTGGGAAAACAAATGAATTTGCTTCTATCAGGTACAGAGTAGAGCCCAGTGTGCTGGCGCACGCCTGTGATCCCAGCATGTGGGAGACTGAAGGAGGATCACACTGAGTTTGAGTCCAGCATGAGCTACAGAGTGAGTTCGAAGCCAGCCTAAACTACAGAGTGAGACCCTGTATCAAAAAAAAATAAAAGGGGAGGGGGATTTAGCTCAGTGGTACTGTGCTTGCCTTGCAAGCGTAAGGTCAAGTTTGAACCCTGGTACCAAAAAACAAAAAACAAAAACAAAAACAGGCACAGAGCAGCATCACCACTGGAGGACCATATGCAGGGGATTAAGGCTCTTGGACCCACACATGCTGTGTGGATTTGGGTAAAGTCTGCAAGCTAGCCACTCGGGGCCTCCGTGTCTATGGATTGTGCTTTAGATTTGCATTTTGAGGCCTCTCTGCTCACCCCAAGAAAACCTTCTCTGCACATTCCCAGTGTGTAAGCAGGTGAGTTCCAATTCACTCCTCCCCCTGAGGTCAGTCTTCTTGGGTTCCAAGTTAGTTTGGAGAGGGTCTACTAGAAGACAACCTACTTGGGGGAGTCTAAGTCCTTTCTCCAATCCTTCTCACCCTAAAAGGCTGCAAAATCAGGCAAATTGCCAGGACTGGCTTTACAGCTCTGGTTTCTGGCTTTGCCCCAAATACCGCCTTGGCAAGTGTCCACTATACTCTTCACCACATTTTTTAAAAAATATTTTTATAAACTGCTACTAACTATTTGTTACTTTCAATAGGAGAGTTAGTCTGGATAACTGTCTGTCCATATTAAATATGGAAGAGTCTTTATATCAAAGTGAAGTAACACCCAGTACACTGCTTCATATTTTCAATAATATTGATTGGCTCTATTTTACCAATTCAAAAGCATACAACGCATGGAATTTACAACATAAATCACTCTGCTTCTTATATGGGTCTCAAAGTGTTAGCTTAATAACAACATAAAATTAGTAAAGTTGAAATTCCTTCTACTTTGGGAACATTTCTCTCTTTTTAAAAAGTTCTCAAATTTGAGAAATCAATGAGTTTCTCTTGATGTAAATTTATAATCAACTTTCAATTTCCACTATAATTCATCAGAATCCCTTTAGCAACAAGTACACTTCCAGCTTCCTGCTATACCGTTGTGTATCCTAGAATGGCACACAATCATTTAGTATCAGCATTTTAATATTATAGACTTAGCACACATTTTAAACCAAAACAGAAGTAGTAGATGGTCCACAAAGCAAATTTAAAGGCAAATAACAAAATGGGAACAAAACAAATATGACAAAAGGTAAAATCCTTAACATACCACAGAGGTCATACAAATCAACTCAAAAATGATTATCCCAACTGAAAATGGGTAAAGAATAATTTACAGAGAAAAAATAATTCACAAAATGTTACCAATCATTGATGACCAATAAACACTAGTAAAATCACCTATTAAAGTGGTAAAGCTTAGTAGTAGCACTCAGCACAGATGTGGGTGAGGAGTAGGACAAACAGTGACAGTTGGAATGTAAACTGGAAGAAATCAATTTGAACCTAATTGTGAACTGGTCATTTTAATTAAAGGAATCTTCTGATGCAAGGACACATGAACAGATTTATGTACCTGCCTACCGCTCTGCCCTTACTTCATGTCACATTCAACCTGCTCCAATTAGGGTGCAGCGTTTTCATTCCCTAGAGGAACAAACTCTTCCCCTCTTTGGGGCCCTCAAAGACACAGCTGTGCTTCCTTCTGCCAAGAATGATCCACACCACATACCACAGCGCATCAAACCCATATCAAGATCCTGCCAGTCACCCTTCACTCTACTTTCTCAGAGAGGTTGCACTAATCAAAGTCATGTTCTTCTACTGTAATGTCTTTGTGCTCTTTACTGTTCCTTAATTCTACTAACTTATATTTTCTTCCTTCAGAAGAGTTACAATTAATTATATGTTCGTGATTACTTGTTTAATATGTGTCGTGGGGTTAGAGACCACATACTCTGGTCACAGTTATATACCCGAGGCTTAGGACAGGACCAGGTTCATAGTAAGCATTAAAAATATTTGTTGAAGTAAGAAAAGCCCAGGCCCTGATGGATTCACTGCTGAATTTTACAACACATTTAGAGAAGAACTACTGCCATTACTCTTCAAACTTTTCATTGAAATTGAAAGGGAAGCTATACTTCCAAATTCATTCCTGGAAGCAAGTATCACTTCGATTCCCAAACCAGGGAAAGATACAACTAAAAAAGAGAACTACAGGCCAATCTCTTTAATGAATATAGATGCAAAAATCCTTAATAAGATATTAGCAAACAGAATACAGAGGATTATCAAGAAGATCATCCATCCTGACCAAGTCGAATTTATTCCAGAGATGCAAGGGTGGTTCAACATACGAAAGTCAATAAATGTAATACATTATATTAACAAAGTCAAGGAAAAAAACCATATGATCCTCTCAATAGATGCAGAAATAGCATTTGATAAAATTCAACACCCATTCATGATAAAAACCCTGCAAAAAATTGGAATAGATGGTCTATACCTCAACTTAATAAAGGCTACCTATGAAAAACCAACAGCCAACATCATATTAAATGGCCAAAAACTGAAAACCTTCATGTTAAAATCAGGAACAAGACAAGGATGCCCATTATCACCACTCCTCTTCAATATAGTTCTGGAAACATTAGCCACAGCAATTAGACAAGAGAAAGAAATTAAAGCAGTAAAGATAGGAAAGGAAGAAGTTAAACTGTCATTATTTGCTGATGATATGATACTCTACATTGAAGACCCAAAAAACTCCACCAAAAGACTTCTAGACTTAATTGACAGATTCAGTAGAGTATCTGGATATAAGGTGAACACCCAAAAATCAACAGCCTTCTTATACACAAATAACAGACTCACTGAGAGAGAAATAAGGAAAAAAATTCCTTTTACAATAGCATCCAAAAAAATGAAGTATCTAGGAATCAACCTAACAAAAGAAGCAAAAGATCTCTACACTGAAAACTACAGCATTCTGAAAAAAGAAATTGAAGAGGATATAAAAAAATGGAAAGATATCCCCTGCTCCTGGGTAGGAAGAATCAACATAGTGAAAATAGCCATACTACCAAAACTTCTATATACATTCAATGCAATGCCAATTGAAATTCCAACACTATATTTCACAGAACTAGAAAAAAGAATACAAAAACTCATTTGGAACCATAGGAGACCTGGAATAGCAAAAGCCATCATAGGCAACAGACACAAGGCATCAGGTATAACAATTCCCAATTTGAAACTATACTACAAAGCCACTGTGATAAAAACAGCATGGTACTGGCAAAGAAATAGGCCTGAGGATCAGTGGAACAGACTGGAAGACACAAAAACAAACCCAGATGTACTCAGCTACCTCATCTTTGACAAAGGAGCTGACCATCCTCAGCGGAGGAAAGACAGCCTCTTTAATAAATGGTGTTGGAAAAACTGGATGTCAACCTGCCACAGATTAAAACTAGACCCTTATCTTTCACCATGCACTAAATTAAAATCCAAATGGATTAAAGATCCAAATATTAAAACAGAAACATTAAACTTGCTGGAAAGTAAGTTAGGCAGAACTCTGGAAGACATTGGTATAGGAAAAGACTTTATGAACAAATCCTCAGTAGCACGGGAACTAGCAGATAGAATCAACAATTGGGATCCCATCTTATTAAAAAGCTTCTGTATTGCCAAAGAAACCATTAGCAGAACTAAGAGACAATCTACAATGTGGGAAAAACTTTTTACCAGCTGTTCCTCAGACAAAGGACTATTATCAAGGATATATAAAGAACTCAAAACAATCAGCCCCCCCAAATAAAGACCTGATTCAAAAATGGGCATCCAAAATGAACAGACATTTCTCAAAGCAGTAAAAGCAGCAAGTAAACATATGAAAAAATGTTCCACATCACTGATCATTCGAGAGATGCAGATGAAAACATTGAGATTCCACCTCACCCCACAAAGAATGGCTGCTATCAAGAAATCACATAATAACAAATGTTGGCGGGGTTGTGGGGAGAAAGGAACCCTTCTCCATTGTTGGTGGGAGTGCAGACTGGTGCAACCACTATGGAAATCAATATGGAGATACCTCAAAGAGCTTGGACTGGAGGTTCCATTTGACCCAGCCATCCCTCTGCTGGGTATCTTTCCAAAAGAACTAAAAGAATCATATCACAGAGAAGTATGCGCACCCATGTTTATAGCGGCACAGTTTGTAATAGCTAAAACTTGGAAACAGCCCATTTGCCCATCCGTTGGAAACTGGATAAAGAAGATGTGGTTTTTCTATAAAATGGAATATTACTCAGCCGTAAAGAACGAGAAAATAGATTCATTCATAGGAAAATGGATACATATTGAAGATATACTCCTAAGTGAAATAAATAAGGCACACATGTGTAAATACCGAATAGTCTCTCTGGTGTGAATAATCTGCAATAATACAGAAGATCCTAATAAGATTACTGACATTTAAAAATGGGAAGAAAGGAGCTAAAGGTGTAGGGAAGGTGGGATGTGTAGGGAAAGGGTAATAAGGGAAAAGAAAAAAATGTGAGATAATGAAAAGATGGAAATAAAGTGTTTGTAGTTGAGGAGGGAGAAGGGGGTAAAGGGAGGGCAGGGACAAGGGGAAAAAATGAGAACCAAGACTTGTCATGTAGAGGTACAAGATCCCAACAATGAATGTAACTGTACTGTATCCCTAAAATATACCAATAAACTCAATTAAAGCTGAAAAAAATATATTTGTTGAAGTAAAAAATGAATGATGTTCATTATAATAATACTGATGACAGAGCCACTCAATCCAAGTGTTGAACTGCAGATCCTCTCACACCCAAAATAGCTGGGAAGGGCCAAGAAATGTCCATTTAATCAATGAGCCTTACAGGTACTGTTTCCTGGGCCAGGGATTTAGCTCAGTGGTGCCACTGCCTGCCTCGCCAGAGCAATGTTCTGCGTTCAATCCCCGATACCAAAAAAAAAAGTATCATTTCTTACATATGGTGTGGAAAAGGTAGATAATATTATAAATAATCCTCTTTGTTCTAAATTGGAAACATCTTTCATCAATACCATTACTTCAATTTCCTTTTAACCACCTACCCATGATCTTGCTTTTAGATATATGTTCAAGAACCCATCTAGGTACTCGCTTTGCCTGATCATAAGACAGCGCATGATTAGTGTAACATCTGGTCTCTGTTCCAGTTAAAGGGAATCCAAATTGTTCCAAAACAGCCTTTTCTTCAGATCCTAAAATTAAAAACAAGAAAGGAGAAGCGGGGACAAAAACCAAGAAATAATTAGTGACTCATTAAAAACAAAAGATTATAAGCAAAGGGGTGAGATTTACAAAGAACCAGCTCAAAAGTCTAATCAAGAGATCTCATTTTTGCAATTATTTAGAAAGTCAAAGAAGAGTCTGGAAACGTACTGGTTTTGCCTATAGTCGGTAGCATAGTTATATCATGAAAAAAGTACAGCTACTGCATTAACTTTTTTTTTTTTTTTGCATTAACTTTTAAATAAGAACCAGTGAGTACATGTGCACGAGACCCTGGGTTCGATCTGCAGCACCAAAAGTAAATAAGGACCTGATCTTGCTAGGTGTGGTGGCCCAATTGTTTGTAATCCCAGCACTCTTGGGAAACTGAGGCAGGGCAATTGCAATTTCAAGCCCAGGTTGGGCGATTTAGCAATTTAGTAAGATCCTGTCTCAAAATTTTTCAAATGAAATTAAAAGGGCTGGGGATGTAGCTCAGCACAAATACCTTGGACTCAATCTCCAGTATGGAAAAAATAAAATAAAATAAAAACAAATAAATAAGGACTTGATCGTTGGTCTTTCACACATTTCCAAATCTCTCTCTCTCTCTCTCTCTCTCTCTCTCTCTCTCTCTCACACACACACACACACACACACACACAATATCTATACAAAAACAGCCCTCACAGGAAAAAAGTCATTACTAGAAATCATTGAGATGACTGGATGAAAAAGAACCTACATCCTTATGGCTTAAGACTGAGTGCAGGGTCAAGCGACAGTCTTAGTTTAAGTTTTTAAAGGATCATCATTAGCAGACCTCCTCAAGGCTCTGGTACCGAAGCACGGAGATGTGCGCTGCAGCAAAACAGTAAATGTGGAGCTGTTTTTCCCAGGAGGCGGAACCAGGCACACACTTAACAGCGAGTCGGTGCCGAGGAAACCCTCCCGGGATGCCTCCTCCAGTTTGCAACCAGCGCTGCAAGTTCGCGCGCGAGAATCAGCAGGTCCGGAAACAGGCGTGTGCTCACTCCTCCGGTCTCCCCCGGAACCTGAGGGTGAGACTCTGAAGAAGGAAAGGCAGACAGGATCGAGGACAGCGAGGCCGGCCGCTCCGCCGCTAACACCGCGCTAGGGGCCGACGACCCCGCGGAGCACACAGGCAGCAACCTCAGGGTGGGCGGCGGAGCTCGGCCCACACACCTACCGTCCGGCTCCCTGGCCGTCAACGCTGGCTCCGCGTCCTCACTCCGGAAGAACTGTAGCGCCATCAGTCCCGTTCCCGCGGCGCCCACTGCAGCCCCGGCCACAAAGCCACTCAGAAAACGCCGGGAGCCTCTGAGGCGTAAAGCAAAACCCTTGACAGCCATCGCACTCTAGAAACCCGGCCTTCCGCCGCTGCGCGTGCGCGCGCCGACCCGGAGCGTGAAAGCTAATCACCGCCTCGAGACCTTGACACACATGCGCAACTTGAAGCAGCTGGTCCTGAGCCCCCTCCCACACCCTCGCAGCTGAGTGCCTAGCGTGCCCCCTGGTGGACCAGGCGCTCCCCGCACCCATAGGCGGTCCACTGAGCCTCATGAGTTGAGTAAGGCCGTCTTGGGGGCCAATGGTGTGCATATATAATCCTGAGATCGTTTGTTAGGAGAGTGAACACTGCTATATGGTCCACTAAGGCCCCCAGAACAGAGATTCCAACTCAGATCTGACTCCAAAATTTGTGCGTCTCTGGAATTGAACCCCTTCATGTTGAACTATATAGTACATGGCCAGCCCCTTTTAAAATATTTGAGACAGGGTATTTGTGTGTGTGTGTGTGTGTGTGTGTGTGTGTGTGAGGGGGGGTATTTTTAGTACGATTAATGATGAGTCTTACTGTAATAAACTTTAAACATTCACTACACTTTTTATCATCCTTCACTGATCAACCATTTATGACAATTTCTGTCAAAAACATTGACTTTTAAATAAGGTCCTCATCGACCTTATTCACTTGCTCTGGCACAGAATTGGGCACCAAATCTGGCATCATACAACTTCTGGGGCTGACTGTGCAAGCTAAACATTTTGAATCAAGGCAGCCACAACAGTGCAACTAAAGACACTCACAAAAGAGTGCTCCAGAACTGCTTCACAAAGTGGCAGGTACACTGGGCATGCTTGAAGCAATGGGGAGTATTCTTCGAGTGGGGCTAATGGTCATGTGTTTTACTGTAACATTAAATAAATTAAAAATTAATTTTATCACATATAGTTCATGAACTCCCACTCATGAATGTCCATTTTTTGTTTGTTTATTGGTACTTTTTAGGTATACAGTATTACATTCATTGGGATCTTGTACCTTTACATGATGTATCCTGGTTCGTATTTTTCCCCATTCCCCTGCCCTCCCTTCAACCCCTCCACCCTTCCCTATTTACAAAGACTTTGTTTCCATTTTTTTCCTTTTCTCATTTCCTTTTCCCTTCTTTCCCTTCCCCTACCCTTCCCACTTCCCCTGCTCCTTTAGCCCTTTCTTCCTATTTCACAATATCAATTATACAATTTGATGAATGTCCTTCATTTTGCAGCACAATCTCCAGCTTCCCATGTGGATTTAGTTCTCTGCAAAATCTTCAAGTTTCTATTTCTTACCAATACTTTTTACCTAGATGGTGGTCACTCAGCAGGAGGCCATTTCTAACATCCAACTAAAGAAGTGCACAGATTGTTTTGAGAGCCTCAAACAGGAGGCTGCCTCCCTCCCCAGGACTATCTCTTATAAAGTCATGTTGAATAATTCCCTGGGTCACTCACTGACCCTGACTGGTTGAACTATGTGAACCAGACTCGTTTCTAGGAATTTTGGATCCAGCGCTATGGAGAGCAAAGCTGTAACTTAGCAGACTGTAGCAACACTGACACCTCCTTTCCCACTAAGAAGACAAAGGAACAGAAGCACTGGTGTGATGCTGAGCAACAAGGAAAGAACTACTAACAAAAGGAGGAGGTATCTGGGCATGGTGGCACACACTTGTAATCCCAATACTTGAGAAGCGGAGGCAGGAGGATCACAAGTTGGAGGCCAACCTGAGCTGTATCGCGAGTCTAAGTTTAGCTGGAACTAAATATAGAGACCCGCCCCCCTCCCAAAAAAAGTGAAGGTGGCCTGCAATGCTGTAATGTCATGACCCCAGCTTCTAGTCTTCTGAAGCTCATGCTACCCTTCCCGAGACTTGGCTAGCCAATTCCCAAGATCTTTTCACTAGAGCCCCCTTTTTTGCCCAATTACTTGTTTTTGTTTTTTGAGACAGGGTCTCTCACCCTGTAGCCCAAGGTGGCCTCAAACTCAGTGATAGAGCTTGTCCAATGGTTTCTGTCACTTGCAACTGTGGGTTCTGAAAATACAACACTTGTACCTGTAGACTTTGAGACTACTTTGGCAGTTTCTGCCAAATTTATTTCATTTCATACCAGGGATCAAACTCAGGACCTTGTGCTTTCGAGGCAGGCACAGTGCCACTAAGCTAAATCCCCCCTATCTGGCCAAATTTATTAAATATGGTCACTTAAACATTTTCCAAAGGCCCCAAGTGCAAGGCACTGTACTAATTGCTGAAGAGAGAGATCACAGATGATGTCTGCACGATCTAAATCCAGTACTGGAATCATAGTGTATCCCACTTGTTGACCCTAAGAATTAGAAGGGCTCCTGCCTTTAGGTAGTGAAATTCCCCATGTGCCTTTTTGCCTCCCTATAAAATGAAGTTATCAGATGAGTTTAAAAACTAACCGGTGAAACCCTAGTGCTCCATGCTAGTGCTTTAGGGATGGGAGGGCAAATCAAATGGACCCTGAACCCTCTATCTACTTGCTCAACTCACTCAGCCAGCCTGCTTTTCTAAACTTACTTCTCTGCCAAATTTCCTTTGGTACAACAATTCCTTTGCTAAAGGAAAAATGTGAGCAAATGAGTCCTAGGGGGCAATCTTACAGCTTTTACAGCTCCAAGATCTTCTATTAAAAATATCAACCGTAATTATGGGCCAGGGATTTAGCTCAGCGATGTCACCACCTGGCTCCCAAACACAAAGTCCCGAGTTCAATCCCTGGTACCAAAAAAAACACAACTCTTTGCCCTCCTTTCCTCTATGTTCATTAGGGGGACTCATGAAAGAAAAAATGGACTTTCAAAATCTGAAAAACCAAAATGGGCTATAAGGATGAGTAAGTGGTCCCTAAATAGAGAACCTAGATCAGAAATTTTTTTTCCAGCAGTTTCAAGCAGGTTGCAGATTCTCATAAAGGCTGAATTAAAAGGGAAGTTTTAGGGCTGGGGATTTAGCTCAGTGGTACCACGCCTGCCTCACAAGTGCAAGGTCCTGAGTTTGATCCCTGGTACAGCATTAAATTTGACAAAAGGAAGATTCAAAGATGATGCTTCTCCACTTAGGCAAGTGTTTGTCTTAAGCCTCCAACTCTTTCCACAGGAGCATCCGGTGATTTCTGAGACTTTCATTTTCTTGGTTAGGTAGTAGAGACCATCCTTATTTTATCAAAGAACCATGTTTCCATTTAGTGAGATTAAGTCAAGACCTCCTAAATAGGAGACTAGGTTTGCTAATTCAAGGTCTGGAGTGGGGCCTCATAAGCAAATTTTTTAATATCTCAGAAAGTAACCCCAATATATAACCAAGTTTGGGAATGGCAAAGTTTGCATTCTGTAAATTCGCCATACAACTTGTTTACAAGGCTTTTCTGTTCCCTTACAAAAATACTTCTCAGGACGGAGGTTGGCTTTTTCGAGATTTGGAAAACACACCTCTGCTCTGCAGGAACTTACCCAGAGTCCCATCATGTTCCTGTATAGGCCCTGGCCACCTGAATGGCAGAAATGGAGAACCGCAATGGCTCTAGGCCACAAGATAATGGTGGAGTAGGCCCTCTACTATTAACAGCCACATGTGTACTAAGCAAGAACTCATAGGCTGACTCCAGCGAGCCCAACAAACATGGAAATTATATATTTTCCAAATTCCAGTGAAATGAAACTACAATCCACTACCATGTGACTAAGAGAGACAACAGGGCTGGGGATTTAGCTGTGGTTCCACTGCCTGCCTCGCAAGCACAAGGTCCCGAGTTCAATCCCAGTAACCAAAAAAAAAAAGACAACAAAGTTGTTTTATTATGATTATTTTATTTTCATATACAAAAAGATAAAACTTGAAATAATTCTAGATTTTTCCTCCTATTTGTTGGGAGTGTGGCTGCTTCTTCACACAGGGGAGAAAAGCTACATTCACATCGGTTTGAGGACCCAGTGCAGAGTTTAAGCAGCAAAACCCCAACTTAGCAGATCTAATTTCAAACTTGACACTCATTTCTAAAATTACCACAGTAAAAAGGAACAAAGAGCCACTGCAAATGAATGAACTATGATACAATGTTCTTTCCAAAATGTTTTCATTTTGCAACTGTAATTACATAGATGTCTGCCTCAGGCCATTTTACGTGTGTGTGTGTGTGTGTGCAATGTGCAA